CTAATAGCTCTGACCCCCGGACAACTTTATTTATTAACATACAATCAAAATAATATTTCAGTACAATTAGATTACCACCACAAAGCCTCTTTCAATTTCTCCATTTGAACTAATGTATGGAAGGCCAGTTCTAACACCAGGTCGTCTATCCAACCCTCCAGCTGTTCTAGATAGCTTGTTAACTCCCCTTTTATGTCACCTAAGGTTTATCCTATGGAGCTTTGCAGACTTTTTTTTTTAACCTCAGCCATGTGACAATCATTGTCCACCTCCAATCCACATCGGGGGATCAGATTCTTCTCTTCCCTCCAGGCCAGCACCCTTCACCCCTTCCCCCTAAGTGGCAGGGACCCTTCAAGGTAATTCTTGTGACTCCTACAGCTGCTAAACTTGAGGGCATTCTTTCACTGGGTCCACCTGTCTCATCTAAAACCTTTTATCTCACCTCCATCCCAGGAAATTCTCTCTTCATATACATCAAAACCAATAGGGCCTTGTTCTCTCAAGCTCCAGAGGACATCAGGATCCACTGCCTTGTCACCAATTCCAGAGGAATAAGGTATCACCCCTTCCTTTCCCAACTAGGGCCACACATAGCCGGAGGCAAAAGGACCATCAGAAATATCCAGGCGGTAAGGAAAAATGTAATACAACAGTCTATCATTGTTCAATTCTCAGCAACTGAACACCTGTGTTTCCTAAATGCTAAACTAATGAAGGAAACAGGTGCCTTAAATAAACTCCCTCTAATAAGGCTTGTCTAAGGTAAAAATTAAGCAGAGTACTAAGGCCAGATCTACCTCAGATAAATGTCACATATCTCTATCTGGGCAGGCCAGATCTACCTCAGATAAATGTCAACTCCAAAAATAAAATAATAATGATTCTTTTTTCTTTAAGCTTTTTCTATGTGACCAGTATCTTTTCAGACAAAAGGTTCCCAGCTGCACCACAAAGAATGGAGAGCTGCAGAATAAGGGGATGACAGAACTTCATTCCAGGACTCCCACCATCATCCCAGGACTTCATAGCTACCCTTCCCATTTCCCAAGAGCCAACTGATGCCCACCATTCAGCCGGAAGCAGTCTTTGAGAGAAACAGCGCCCCATACCCACTCATCCACCATTTTTTTTTCTTTTTTTAAAATAACAAGAGTCCGGGATGATAGAGATTCACAATGCACCCCCATGGTTGCGCATGCCCGGTGGACCTAGACACTTCTGCTTGGCCATTTCCGGGTCAAAATAGCCATTTCCAGGTCAAAACATCACGCATTGAAGGACCCCACTCCATTATGAGGATATGGGGCGTTGGGCCGATGTTATGCCCCCCCAATAACTTGGCCTTAGAAACGCCATTCTGCAGGAATCAGAAAAACAGGAGTTCACAGCTGTGACTAACTAGCCAGCCGGCCTTGGAAGAAAAAGATAACTGTGGCCAGCCATCGGGCCT